TTTTTGTTGTTGTTGTTGTGAGACAGAGTCTCACTATGTCATTGAGACTGACCTGGAACTCACTATGTAGCCTAGGCTGGTCTCTAACTCACAGCAATCCTCCTGCCTCAGCCTCCCGAGTGCTGGGATTACAGGCGTGTGCCACCACACCTGGCTACACTCTGCTTGTTCTGAAGATGGAGGAGGCGGCCACGAGCCAAGGAACACAGGTAGCTCCAGAGCTGTCAGAGGCAGCTCCTCAGAGCCTCTGGATGGGACACAGCCCTGCTGACACCCTTATTTTAGCCCAGAGGGACCTGTTTCTAATTTCTGGTTTCCAGACCTATAAGAAAACACATCTGTGTTGTTTTAAGCTACTTAAAATTGTGGTGATTTTTGACAACAGCCACAGGCAGCTAGTACAGAAGTCTTCATTGACAGTGAGGTAAAGCTGTAACTGTGCTCCATCAGAGGGAGAGAGCAGTTCAGGCCAAGAGCTCAGTGCGGGAAAGTGAGGAGAAACTCAGCATGCCTGGTAATGCAGGGAAAGGCTTGGGTCTTGGAGCACTGGCACTGTGTGAAGACAGGTAGGGCTTGACTCTGGCTTCTCTACCTTCTCTCTGTGTGATGTAATCCTTCTTGACTGCTTTTTTCTCATCTTAAGTGATGCTAATGATAGAACCTTTAGGATCTGGGGGGACTGAAGATGACAGTGCTTAACAGAGCGCTTAACAGAGTGGAGCCAGCAAACGATGCACCTCTGTCCGGGGAGCTCTCAAGGACTCTTGTCTTCATGCCCTATGCAGTGCCCTTGGCACTACTCTGTGCCTTGTCTTACTCGAGCTCCTCCAGGAACGTCTCTGTTCCAAGGGTACTGCTCCAGTCTCACTGAGCTGAGCACTCGGCTTTTCCTGGGATTCACTGGCATGGTCAGCCCTGGTACCGGGGAAAAGTCCTTCCACACATATGTGCATAGCGGAGGCCAGAGACTCCTGCCTGGAAGTGAGAGCCATGGAGTATCCGCACCCCTGTAGGACCAGTAAGGCACACCCTCTGCCCCCTCCTCCTGGGCAGCTGCTGTCCTCATTAGATGGTGCGTGCCCCGCTTCCTGGTGGACACCATGTTTGATTCAGTCCAGAGTCCTGCTTCTGTCTCCCTCCTTACAGTCAAAACCAGGACAGCAGAGTCCTGGCACTCACACAGGAAAGGGCACACACGCTGCCTTCTTGGCTCCCACCCCTTCGCTGCCCTGGCCTCTCAAATGACTTAAAAATAGAACCCTCAGTGCTCTGATTCCAAGTCAGTTGGGACCAGGAGTTCTGCTGTGCACCTGGCTGAGGGTCAGGTATTTGGAGAAAAATGATAAATAAGATCAAGTTCCTACCCTCGTGTGTTCACAGCTAAATGGGCAAAAGACCAGTGAAGATACTTATTAGCCCTTCCCAAGCTATCTTTTTATGGTAACCCAGATTTTAAAAGACAGAGTGATGACTAGATAAGCCCTAGGCCTCTGAAGGACCCTGACACCCTAAAATGACATGTGTTAAGGAGCTGTCTATGCAGTGTCTGACTCAGATCAACTCCAGGTGGGCTCCAGCTTTAGCGACCTCCCCTCCTTGCCCAGCACAGAGGGCACAGCTGTGAGTGAGTTTGAACCTTGGGAGCAAGCAACTGTCTCCTGGAAGATCCTGGAAGACTTAAGACATCGCTCCTAGCCCAAGTGACCTCACCTGGAAATGTCCCCCTGTGGCTAAAAAGAGACAGTGAGTAGAGTTCTAGAAAGGTGCCAGCAAACAGTAGGTGCTTTACGCAAGCCAGGACCAGATCCCTATCCCTTGCTGCCATCGGCCAGAGCCAAACAGGATGAAAGACAGACCCTTCATTTCCCTTATAGAAAATAAACCCTGGTCCTCCCGAATTTTGTCTAATTGCTCATGGCTGGTGCTCTGGGGTATAAAAGAGAGGAAGGCTGGAATGATCCCCACACCTTTTAATTTTTTTAATTGGGGGTGCAGGAGACTCCAATTAGGGCTGTGGCGCCGGCCAGAAGGAAACAGAGCAGCGGGCCCCAAGGGCTGGCCTCCTGCTGAGCAGGGCTGGAGGACACAGGCAGCAAGGGCACCCTTCCTACAAACACCCGCCCCCACTGTCACTCCACATTGAAGGGCCAGGCTCCCAGGACGGGCCGGCTGGTGACAGGGGCTCTCGTTAATGGATTGCTCCCCCAATTCTCTCCCTCTGGCCTTCACTTGTACCAATATAATTAAAATTAAAAACAAAAACAAAAAATAAAAAGAGAGCAACGAAGACAGTTGTCAAGACAGCCAGTCCTTGAGGCCAGTACTCCCACACCAAGGCAGGCAGGCAGGCGGTTCATATCCTCCTTTGGTCACAGTGTCCGCTCTGACCACCCAACTCCCACATCTCACCGGCCTTTCCCACCTGTCTCTATGTCTGCTGCAGCCCTGCTTATTTATTCTCCAGCTCTGGAGCTTGGCCCAGCTGTACACACAGCTAGAACAGAGATTTTTTCCTTGGGAGCAAGGGCTGAGCCTCATCCATCCCTACACCTTCAAGACCTCTTCCCCACAGTGATTTCAGGAAAGGTTAATCAACCATTGATTGCAGCTTATTGTCTATTAAGTGCAAACTGACTTCACCTGAGCTAGGATCCCTGTGAGCCTCTGGTAAGACAAGGAGAGTAATATATATTTATCGATGGTACCTGCCAATCTGCAGGGAGACACACATCATCAAATCAATCACAGGCTACGAGCAGTTATTGGGCAGAACTTCAGGAAGACAAGCCGCAGCCAGGCTTAGAAACTAGGACCAGAGAAGTAGGAAGTCTAGATTTCTCTGTTGTTCACAGTTCTTACTGTGAGTGAGCGAGGTTAATACTAATAACAGTGCAACCTCCATGCATGCTGCTTAAACACCTAGCCTTTACGGAGCTCGGGGTTCCGGCCAGTGTGGAGCGGGGTCCTTCTCGGGCTAGGTCAGGGCTGCTCGCTAAGCCCCTCAAAGCACTCAGTGTGTATGAAAAGCAGAGATCACTGTTGGAGTCTCGGAGATGTGGGACACCTTATCCCGTACTCAAGGGGAGTTAGGAGAAGTTGGCCTATTCATCTGGGTGAGCCAGAACGTGGCCCAGCTTGTGGCTTAATGTACACGTTCCTGGGCCAGCAGGGCTCAGGCCACAGAAAAAACCTTCCCCTTCAGCCAACACAGGCTGAGGGCCCCAGAGATCTCCATGGGAATGGGAGGCATTTCCCAAGAAGCAGAAAACTTCCACTGAAGAGCCCATGTGCATCAAAGCAGTGTGTGAGTCCAGAGACGTCAACTCTGCTGCTCACTTGAGCGATCCTAGCCAAGTTTCCGGCCTCAGTATCCTCAGATATACAGTGCACAGGCTGGTCAATATCCCAAGTCACTTCTAATGGCAGCATTCTGTGAGCCCAGGCCTTCTGAGTTTATGGAGAAGAGGATTTACAGACCCTTCGCAATCAAAATGCATGGACAGGACAGACACAGAAATGACTCTCATTAACCGATGGTGCCTTGGGATGGACACCTAGAGGACAACGGGAATGAGGGCTCCCTGCCTGCATCACTGAGCTGGAAACATTTAACAAGCCATAGTCCCAGGCTCTGCTTGCAGGCTGAGCATCAGAGGCTACTTACTATGCAGCCAGCCACCAGGGCTCCTTGGGCAAACCCCGCCAGGACATCGCCAGGGTGGTGCTTGTGGTCAGATATGCGGGACAGTCCCGTGTAGAAGGCCATCATGATCAAGGTGAATTGCAGGAGGGGCCTGAGCAGCCGGGCGCCTCTCCAGGTGAAGCGGGCCTGCAGGTATAGCTGGAGGGAGGAGACAAAAAGAACAGACTTGACATTACTCTCCACTCATGGGCACTATGGCTCCACCTCAACACGCACTCTATTTCTGCTCTGCGGATGCACCCAGACTGGCAGTGCATTGCCACAGAGGGTTTTGTTTGGACCCGACTACCAGCCAGTCATGGAACATCTAGCCTTCCTGCTCATAACAAAAAATAAGGAAGCCGGGTGTGGTGAGGCATGGCTAAGGCAGGAGGATCGCTGTGAGCTGTGAATTCAAGACCAGCCTGGGCTACGTAGTGAGTTCCAGGTCAGTCTCAACTACAAAGAAAGACCCTGTCTCAAAAAAAACAAAAAAAAAAAAAAAAAAGAGAGAGAGAGGAAAGATAATATATGGAAACAGTTCTTGCATCCTGCTTGGCACTCCATAGGCACTTTAATAAATGTGGTTTCTGTTTAACTTCTTCTGGATTGAGACTAATTAGAGAACAGTGACCAGGGTTAGAAAATGCTTTGTTTTACAGTGGCCACCGACTCTCTTAATACCTGTGTGTGTGTCTGCTGGCGATTAGAGAGATATGTATTCCCAGCATCACCTGCTTCTCGCCATTGCCATGGAAATAAAATCCATGATGCTGAGGGAAAGTCATCATGATATTCACAGCACATGCTCTAGCTCAAAAGAAAGCCACTCCACCTGAGAGCAAAGTTCTAAGTCACCACTAAGAGATCTGGATTTTCAATTAGCATATAAGGAAACACATAAACTGGCACACAATGCCAGGGAACTTTCAAGTGGAAATCAACAGACACTGGGCTGGGTGGGGTGGAAGAGTAACCTGGAGAAAATATAAGAGAAAAAAAAACACCTCGGGCTGAAGGAAAGAAGCTGAAATGACGTCAACTGGGTATTGTCCCCTTGAAGTTATCTTGCGGCAGTTTCCGTTCTAACCTCTGGGCACAACCTACTTCCCAAGTTCCTGTGGGAACTGGGGAAATGAAGAGGAAGAGGCGAGGGGACGAGGGGAACCTCCGACTGCAAATCAAAGCACTGGGAGAGGCTGGAGAGAGGGGAAGGGCAGAGGGAGGACTGCCGGTCTCCAGAGAGACCTGCCCTTCCTGAGACAGTGCCACCTTCCTCTGGAGGTCAGGACAGAGCACCAGAGGGGCCAGAGGAGGGGGCCCAGGGCAGCCTGAGCCACACGGGAGCAGCACGCAAAGAACCAGGTGTGGGAACAGCAGGTGTCTGCAGTGCGGCTCCATGTGGTGCCTGCCTAGAATGCACAATGCCTTGCGTTGATCCCTAGCACAGCCAAAGAGAAGGGAGAAAAAAAGGGGGACAACAGCAAGAAATTTTATAATCATTTTCAGATTATATGAGCGTAGCACCGGAGAGTTTGAGAGTAACAAAAAACTACTAGGGGGCTGCATGGATGCTGTTGGCTGCTAAGTAAATGATTTACATCAGTGTTTTCCTCATATATAAATATAACCCATTAAAATCTAAAAGCAGTGATAAAATCATCATAATACCAAAGAAGATTAAGTAACTACCAATTAACCTGAGGGGGGGCAGATTTGCGATGGGTGCAAAGGAAGCAGAAAGAAGGTCTAATTCTTACCCTATGGAGAGTGCAGGGGATATGGGATCTAGGAGGGAAGCTGGAGCAATCTAAGGTACTAAGAGGAAAGGATAGTTGACGTGAACCTGAATGGACTGGCATCTACTGGAAGTCAGGGAGACAGAGAGGAGTGTGGGTGGCTGAGAACCTACCATGAACAGCCCGGGCACTTCAAACAGTTCAGCACAGCTAGAAAAGAGCATGTGGGGGCCACGAGGGGAGAAAGGCTGCAGAGACCAGTAGGCACCAGTTCATGAAAGGCTCTGGGCATCAGAGTAAGGACTGTGGCCTTTATTCAGTAAAACATTACCCCCAAACTGTATCCCATGGAATATTCAGTCTCTTAAAAAAAAGATGAGTGAGCACTCGGTACTAAAGTACTTGTTTCTGTTATGTAAAGTACTCACAAGATTATTAAAGGCTCAAGAAGTTCTGTAGGGAAAACACTTAATTGGCCTCCAATCACTACTTTTATGGAACATCAACCCATTGGACAAGTGGAAAATATTCCTATAAGAAATGGTGAACAATTAATTGTTTTAAGCCAGGCACTGAGTACCATAAAAAAACGAATCTCAGTGCAGAGCTGGGTCACTACAGGCAATGCCAATATCAGAGTGAGCCTGCAGCTACAGGCCAAGGGCTTGTGCGCTCCTTTCTGCTGAACTGATCTGCTGGTAAGACTCCGCCATTTTGGATCAAAAGGTCCCTTCCTTTTGAGTGGAGATGGAGATGATGCTGGTCCAGCTCCAACTCAACACAAGTCTTGAGAGCAATGGCGAGGTCAGAGGAAGGAATACCCACATGCAGTGCACACTATTGGCCAGCCTCTTCCTGCTGCTCCCAGCAGCGGCTGGGGGTGGGGTGGAGAGCAGGAGGAGCACAGGATTTCATTAGAAGACCCTAGCTGAGCCTCAGTTTCCTCCCACGTCAAAGTGTCACATTATGGACAAGGACAGGACACAAGATGCTACTTAGTAAATTAGATAATTTTATTCTTTAGTTAATTCAACTGACTCCCAAACTGTCCTATTTCCCTCTCTGAAAAAAGCTGCAGGTCCTCAGAAAATGCTTGTTCAACATCCTACCACCCTTCCCCTTGCTGGCAACCTATCAACTTTAGGTCACAGGCCTTGGAATCCAGGGAGGGACAGAGGAAGGGTGGATTTCCCAACCGGACAAAGCCACATCTCCCTTGCCACTGACTCAGTCAACTTCAGGCTGGAGCTCCACGAAAGAAATCAATACAGGAGAGGAACTTGCAGGGAGAGGAAGAGACCAGCATCAGAATAGCACCAGGAAGGAGGGAAGTGCTCACGAATGAGAAAGGAGTTGGGGCCCTGGGAAAAGCTTTCCTGGGGAAAGCAGTAATGGCACACATTCATGGAGCAATGCTCAGGGTTAGGATTGGTCCTGGTGCCCACAGCTGTGGCCACAGGGAGAGCAGCACAAGAGTCAAGTTCATTTCAGGGTGAGACAGCTCTGAGTCCTGGCCTGGTCCTATCACTTACTAAGTATATGGTCCTTTAACTTCTCTACACCTCAGTCTCCTCATCTGTGAAACAGGTAGAACAGCATCTCCCTTGCAGAGATGCCAGGATCAAAGAAGACAGAATGGAGAAGACTCTGGAGGGCAGAGGATGGGTGCTCCAGTTTCAGAAATCTAGGTCACCCTTTTGCCCTAATAGATAAGATTGTCTCAGTGGTGGGGATTTCACTAGAACAAGTAAATTACTAAAGAAAGAGATTGCACAGTGACCTTCCAGCCAGCGGCTGCACTAGATAGGAGAAGTCAGCTGCTGGCAACAGGCTTTGAAGTTGACTGCAGAGCCCAATAACCCGCCACTCCACACCAAACTCACTGCTAAGTGAGTGTGGCTTTGTTGGGTCATGGCTCGGTCACACGAGCCACTCCAGACCAGACGTCTGAGCATCTCAAGGACCTCAAAGTGCATCCTGCAGGCTGGGGACAGCAAGTTACTAAGGGTTCTGTTCACTCCCAACCAAGGGGCCAGGCACACATTTCTCAAGAGAGGAAGTCAAACCCTACTGACCACAAGGATGCCAGGCCCCCATCCTGCCCTCAAATAGCAAGGGGATGTTCCCAGAATCAGAATACAAAGTTCCATGCACCCCAAAAAAGCTGATTAGGAAAAGGGTGAGCAGAACTGGAAACACACAAAGCCTCCATCACCCTGACACTCCTCCCTGCCTGCCACTGTCCTACCTGGAGCCACTTCCTCATCTGTGTGAAGGAAGGACTCTGGGCCGAGGAACCTGCACTTGGAACCCTCATCCTAATCACTGAGATGCTGCAGCATGGTTGGGATCTACAGTCCTCTCCTTGTCCTGTACTAAAATTTTACTTCCCATTGCTCAAACAGAACTGTGGAAGTGACAGAGATTACAATAAAAAAGGTATGCATTTGCCTCCCTTCCTCTGAAATGTTGTACATGAAAGTCCTCAGCAGACAGAACTCACTCCGTAAGTAGAGTGTTCTTCTCGCTCCTGAACCTAGCTTCAAAACTGGGGTGCTGCAGTGTCAGAATTCCAACAAAATCCCCTGAGACGAGTTCCAGCTCCTCCGGACTGAACCCGCCAAGTCAGATGTGTGGGTGAGTCACAGGCTTATTCTTGCTAAGTCATGTGTTTCGTTACATGATTTGCAAACTGGGGAAACAGGTCTGCACTCTCTTCTCCTTTCATTTCCCTTGCTCTTGGGAAAAATTCAGTTAAGAGTGAAAAGGAGGCTTTTGTCCTTCCTTATGTCCCTGCCTACACTCTTCCAAGGAAGCCAGTTCACATCAGTGACATCCAGAGAGAGAAACTTTCCCTCCTCCATGGATCCCACCAGGCTCTGGCTCATGGGCCTGATAGCTCTATGGCATGAGAGAAAATTTAAATATCCCCCTGTGGAGTTATTTAACTGCTTTGAGGATAAAAGAACCTTTGGTTGACTCCCCCCCACCCCGTTGGAGAAAATAAAATCTGTCACTGCCAGGGGAAGGAAAGGAAGCTACCATTTTGCTGAGTGTGGTTCTAGACCCTGTGCTGGGTGTTTTAAATAATTTTGCCTGCAACTGTCATGATAATCTTGTAAGATGAACACCATTGTGTCCACTTTACAAAGAAATCAAGGCTTAAAAAGGCCATGTCACTCATTCAAGTTAACAGAGAGCCATGACTTACTTAGAAAGTTTGCCTTTTCCAAGTCCAGGATCTAGCTATTAAATACCTGCTCTCCACAGGGAATTACTGTTTTACATGCACAGTGTTGGTCTTTTGTGCTGGTCTCTTTGGTCTTCAGAGAAAATAAGCGACATGAGGGGACCATGCAACTGTCATGTACAAAAGGACACCCACCAGTGATGTTTGGAGCATCAGGCTCCTCTAATCTA